TGGCACACTCCGATATTTATTCGGAGACATCAAAGCCTCTCTCTGGGTCACAAGTCCTTTCAGATCATGGGTGCCAAACTGGCTCTGGAGACAGGGTGGCCAAAGAGGCAAGAGGGCGTGGACTCTTCCCCAAGGCAAACCGGCCTCTCTCTCAACGGGCAGCTTTCATGGGATGGAAGGGGTCATGACAAAGCCACGCTAGCGGAGTTTTTAAGCAATGGGTTACTTTTTGAACGAAAGAATGTGGAGGCAGCTGATACGTGGAAGGGGAAAGTCCTGCCATGAATGGGGGGGGGGTCATCAAAGGTAAGGAAAGATTCAAAATAGATTCCATGGTGGAAGAAAAGATAATAAGGCCCTGAGGCTAGAAAGGGTGAAAACCACCCGAGAGCCAAAAACCCAAAGGGGAGAAGGTGGAAACGTGGAAACTAGGTCAACAAGTTCCACTGCCTCTCTCAGGGACTGAATAGAGATGGAGGCTCCTTAAAGCAGGGACTAGATTAATTAGCGATGCTTCTGCAATACAGGAGGGTTGCCTCCCTTGATCCGTTCCAGCTCGGAGCCTCCTTGTGACGGCCGAGTGTCGTACTTGGCAGACGGCTTCTCTCCCGGGCAAAGGCTCAAGTCATTTACAGCTTGATCGTCTCCTCTCATCCCTGTGCTAATGGAGCATGGCCCATTGGCCGGGACCCTTCGCTGAGCCTCATTCTTACTGCCCCCGCCCCCCCCCAGGGGGACGTGCTTAAATATAGAGGACGTGGATTTGCACTCGTTGGGTCTGAAGACGTGGATTTTGACCCACAAAAGCTGACACAGAAATCAGCCTGTTGGTCTTTGAAGTGCACCCGGACGTGGCCCCTCTTTCTCATTTTAATTTTGCTAACGCGCCAGGCCTGGGCCGGTCCTGCAAGTCTGAGGGAAAGAGGAGAATGGGGAAGTTGTTGTTGCTGTCTAAAACCAGCAAGTGGGGACTGGGGGGGAGGGAGGAACCGCTCTCTCCACACTTTCTCCGAGGAGTCCCACTGTGCGCGCATGCACGGTCCCACCAAGGAGGCTCTGCCCTGATCTAAAAGGGATCTTTTTCTCCAGCTGTTTTCGCAAAGGCCTCCCCCCGCCCGGTTTCCTCTAAGGAATCCCCAAAACTGCCCCCGCCTCTCACAGCGCTGCCCACGGAAAGGCCGGAGAGGCACCTCCCGAGAAGACTCCCACCACCGGCTGCGCCCGAGGGCAGGTGGCTCACCTGAAGGAGCCGTACTCCGGCGGATGCTGGTACCTCACCATGGGCCCCTCGGGGCGTCCCGGCTGGCCCAAGCGATGGTCCCCGTAGAAATGCCCGGCGTCCTGCGGCTTGCAGCCCATGGATGGGCCGGAGAGGTTTTTGTAAGGGTACTCGGGCGGGGGTCCCCGGTGCTCCATCCCTTTCATGGCCAGCTGAGGAGGGGGCGGCCCGGGGTTCTTGTAGAAGTCGCCGGTCTGCTGGGAGGAGGAGGCGAGGGGGGAGAGCGGGGCGCTGGTGACCGGCGCGTGGGCCTTCACCCCGCTGGTGGCCAGGGAGAGCTGCATCAGCCTCTCGCTCAGCGAGCGGACATGGCCTTGCTTGAGGTCCTTCAGCCCTTCGTCCTGGTGGACCTTGCCGGGGCTCACGCGCTGGACGGTCGGGCGCCCTTCCGTCCTCATCTTCGGGTTGGAGACCCCCGTCACGTAGAAGGCGGCCCCGACGCTGGCGTGGGGCTGGCCCCTGAAGTACTGGGACTGGACTTTGGCCTCCTCGTAGGTAGGGAGGTCCTCGCTGTTGGGGAGCCTCGGGGAGAGCTGCTTCTCCATGATGCCGTTGTCCATCGGGATCTCCTGGCCCTGGGGCTCCTGGCGGGCCACATGGGTCCCGCCCGGATGGTCCTGAGCGCTCAGCCCGTCGCTGGGCCCTCCGGGGCTTCCGCTGCTGGCAAAAGGCGGCCCGTTGCCCGCGGCTTGCTGGTGCAAAGCGAGGAGGTTGCGGCTGTCGGTGGGGTTCCCATACCGGAGCTGCTCCTGCAGCAGGCGCTGTAAGACTGTCGTGGCCGAGGGCTCTTCGGAGGTCCTCATCTCAACTGCGATGCCTCGTGGGCGGAAGGGGAGAGAGAGGGCGACCAGCTGGCCGGCCGGGAGAGCTGGAGAGGAAAAGGAGAGGTGGTGAAACCTCTCGGTCCAAGCGGGAAGGGAGAACCGGCCCGAGAAAAAAAGGCCACCAGCACCCCCTCCCTTCCCTGATGAGGTTCGAGAGAAAGAGACCACCAAGCCGGGCAAATCCCCCAAGCATCCTCCACCCGACAGGGCAAAATCGGGAGTCTTTCATAAGCCACCTCTGTGACCTATCTAGAGGTCAGCCTTCCAGCCTCTGGCCATTCCAGGGGATTGAAAAGGAAAAGGGGAAAGAGAGAGAGAGATAAAAACAGCAAGAACCTTGACCGGCCTTTTGTATTGCCCAGGTTTTGTTTCTTGGATTGTGACAAACAACAAGAACAACAGAACTGTTTTATGTAACAGGGGGCTGACATCTGGGTGTGTGTGGGGGTCATTGTCCAGGGGACACACACACCCCCTCCGGCAGAATGCCCAACTTCTTGCAGGTCTTAACACAGGCTTGAAAAGTGGCAGGTCTTAGGTGGACTTCAAACAAAAATCTGGTTGGAATAGGTTTATGAACCTGGTTGGGGTTCGCCTTCCAGACCTCCCCAGTCCAAACTCTACACTGGAGGAACGGACGCAATACAGTGGCTATTGAGGGCCCTGCACTCAATAAGGAACATGGCGGAAATAGCCCAATGGGATTAGAAATTTGGACCAGGACGGGGGAGAATCATCGTCATCGTCATCAGCTTAGAATGGCTCAGCTGGAAGGGACCCTCTGGACCATCGAGTCCAGCCCCGGTCAAGGAGGCACCAACGGGGAATCGAACTCCCAACCTCCAGCTCCAAAGCCAGAGACTGAACCCACTGAGCTCTCCAGCAGCTCAGTCATAATTTCAGAACTGCAGAACTGGGAGAGATCCCAAGGATCATTGAGCCTTGCCCCCTTTCAATCAGGATCAGATCCCATCCCCCATGGCCATGAAGCTGAAATGGGGGCCTTCACTTCTTCTCAGTCTGTCTCATGGACGCAGTGAAGCACCAAAATGGATACAGTGGTGCCTCGCATTACGATGTTAATTTGTTCCAGTGAAATCGCTGTAGAACAAAAACATCATAATGCAAAAATAAAACGCCCGTTGAAACGCAATGAAACCCCTTCAATGCGTTCCAATGGGCTGGAAACTCACCGTCCAGCAAAGATCCTCCATAGGGCAGCCATTTTCGGTGCCTGTGCAACGAGGAATCCATTCCAGAAAACAGCGGGGAGCCTTTTATTTATTCGGCGGCTATTTTGAAACCACCGATCAGCTGGAGGAAAATCGTCATTTTGGGAAGAATTGGTTCCCGAAGCAGGGAACCAATCATCACAAAGCGAAAAAAAACCCATTCAGACCATCATTTTGCGATCGCAATTGCGATTGCAAAAAGATGGTCATAATTCAGTTTTGTTGTAATGCGGGGCAATCGTAAAGCGAAGCATCACTGTATAAACTAGCAAAAATGATTTACAAACAGAAATAGTTATGCAAAGCACCCCAGTTTCCCCCTTCTTCAATCGCTCTGGAAAAAGAGAAGAAGTATTATATTGATTTAGGGAGACACCCAGCCAGCCACCCATATCAACAAGCCCACATATGTGCACATCCTAAAGACTTCTCTTCCGCACTTGGCAACTTACTGGATGAAACCGTAACAATTTCCGTTCCAATTTCTGTCGTCTCAGATCACTTCACAGCCAGAGCACAGCTTGCAAACGCCCCATTCAGAGGAAGGTTGAGACGAGAAACGTCCAGGCAATTCCAAAATGGCGGTTCTTGCTTTGGCCCTTGGATTCCAAAACAGCACTCTCAGTACAGGAGGGGATGCAAACTGTGGTATATTTCCAAGTTCCTTTTAAATTCCTTCACAGTGGCAAAGATCCTGAAAAACAAAGAAGGGTGAAATTAGAAAAGCAGCGAAGAGCGATGGTTTCCATTAACCCGTCGTCTTCTGGAGCTCATCGCTGACCCTCAAGCCCTGGAGGAGACGTTCAACCGCCTCTCTGGCATGCGATGGGAAAGAGAGGGGTCAGTTGGCATCATCTCTCTCATTCTGTGTAAACGGAAGAGCCTAACCAACAGCATTTGGCCGGATGTTACACGGCACAGAATCAGAAACACTGCTCTGCCTCGCCTTAGCCTTACAGGCTCTGGGCGATAATTTTCTGGAAAAGGACAGGAAGGACTTAAGGCTTGTCCTAAGGGCTTCTTCTGCCATCCATCATTACACGCGCAGGTGCAGGGCAAGATTTAAACAGCCATTTGCAGAACGCAATCTAAAGCCAGCAACCTTGCAACGCTCCCTGGTGGGAACTAGTATTTGTGAATAGGTTACGCAAGGCTCTCACAAAACACAGCAGAGGGCTGGCCAGATATATCGCTCCCGTTTTGGCAGGAACAGGGAAACACAAGCATCTTTCCACTCCTTGAGAAACGAGGACAATGGGATGCGGTGCAACCTGTAAAAACTTGCCCCGGAAAGATCCATGGCCTGGTTAGGAAATAGAGAGGGGTTACTTACCTGTAACCATGGTTCTTCTAGGGGTCCTCTGTGAATCCACACCTCCCACCCATCCTCCCCTCTGCCCGTCAGGTTATACTTTGAAATAGCTCTTTGACAGCGGCAGATTTTCACAGGACCCGTCAGGTTGTACTTTGAAATCGCTCTTTGACAGCGGCAGATTTTCACAGGAACGGAAGGGATCGGTGATGGGCAGAGCATGCGCTCCGTGGGGGAAACGTCCCACTAATCGTGTGTCTTCCAAGCTCTAGAAACTTCCGAGAGGTTCAGCGCAGGCGCAGAACAACCCAATGTTGTGGATTCACAGAGGCCACAAAGAAGAAGCACCTTAGCAAAGTTCAGTCTTACAGGTTCACCTCACCTTGGAGAGAGAAGGTTAATAACCTTGTGCAGCCCTGGGCAAGCTGTTGCCCTCCTGGAACACCACCAGGAAAAAAAGAGGGAAGGGAATACCTCTTTTATACCCAGTAGACCCCCTGGCAAAGATCACCATAAGCGGGAATCAACCTGACAACACCTACTAGTTATTATGATCACTAATAACTGAAGTCAGCATGTCTGTTTCTAAAATGAATCATTCAAATAAGACTTAAAGCGTGAAACCCTGGATTGATGTCATATTTTATATTCCATCAAGTCGCTTCTGGAGAGCGAGGAGCTCTTTGACATACAGAAGTTTAAACACTTCCAAAAGCTTGTGGTTTAGCATTGCCATCGCCCTTTCGGTTTCCACAGCTGGACAGGGATTTGAACCCAGGACTCCAGAGTTTTGTCTGACCCTCTGCCGATTATATCACAGTAGCTCCGCCTAGAAGGATCGGTTACCCGTGTTTCTTTTTCCAGAAGGGCCACTTCCTGTTTTAGAAATGGGACAATCACGCATACAAAACATTGTAAAAAGCAGCAAAACGGGTTTGGATCATTTCCCTGCGTTTTATGAACAGCCTTCTGACAAGAATCGTTAACTTCGCTTAATCTTCAACTAGCAATCAAGGCCCTCGTGCCCAGGACGTCAAATGCAGTCCCTGAGACCACACAGTGAGTAAGCGAGGACATTTAGCATGGTAAGAGACGGTCAAGAGAAATGACAGGCCAAGCGGACAGATCAGCATCCAGCTACAGGCCTTCTGTGAATTCATGAGCCCGCCCAACACCCCTTTAAACGGTCAAAGGGTGGCCATTTTAATCCAGATTAGGAATTTCCCACCAACCCGGAGGGTTCAAGAATAAAGCCTAGAGAAGGCCCATCTCTCTTGAAGGGATGGGAGACCCAAACTGAAGGAAATCTCTATGCTAAGGGATGAACTACAACTCCCATCACGCCCTGCTAAAGGTTACTCGGGGTAGGACTGATGGGACTCCATCAAGATCTGGAAAGCAAGAGAGCTCCAACCTTCCCCAGATTTGGAGTCGGACGCAGTTATGCTAAGTCAGATTCCCAGGAAAAAAGAAAAAGCGGAATCGCGGAGCGATTTCAAATCCCCGGATCCAACCTGACACGGCAGAGGCCTCCCGAACTGGCTAAAAAAGCAGAATGTGTCATTAAGCAAACACGGCAGCAGCCCAGGAAAACTCTCTGCAGACGGTCTCGCCGATTTTACGGTGCCCGAGCCCAAATCTAGCCGCTCCTTTCTGCTTGGGCTTGGCAAGCGCCTCGCAGGTGAGGTCACAGGTGTGGCACAACGGCGGCGGATGGGAAAGGGCCAGTTTATCGTACATCCTCATACCAGAGAGGGGAGAGGGGACAGAGGATCGCCCTGCTTCGTTTCAAACAAGGAGTTGCCCGGCTGGTAGCCGCTCACAAACCCTTTGTGTAAGCTGAACATCCCAAAAAAACCGGCACCCGCAACGCGGTGACTCCATTCAAAATCCCAGAGTCTCCCTGCCTTTTAAAACAAGGAACTAAATTTGTTCCACACTTTGACATAATTCAAACCCACAAGGGAACCTCAGAACTGGGGAAGATCTGAAGGTCAATAAGAAAGAGTTATCTGGGCTGCCAGGAAGAGTACCGTCGGCTGGAACCCCTTCCGTGGTTTCAAGCTGGACCGTTCTTGCTCTGCCTTCCTCTGCTGGCTCTGGTTAAAAGGCCATGCTCTCCAAAGAGAGCCACGGAGAGTAAAATCACGATCGACTCGACCTGGAGAGAGAGAGAGGCTGGCTTGGGACATGAAAGTCCAGCTTGAGTCCCATGGAGTTTGCTCCCAGGTAAGCAGGCACGCATAGAAAGAACTGCTCCCTTAAGCCTCTCCAAACAAACCCGGCAGTGAAATTTAATATGCCCACACCTAGGAGGAGAGAGGAGGAGGAACGGACATAGGGTAGGACGGTTACTTTTCCTCCGTTCAAATGCTTTGTTCCATAGCATTCCAGATCCTGAGCTAGCTCTCTCTCTCTCTCTCTCTTTCTCGCTCGCTCGCTCGCTTCCTCCCCCCCTCCCGTTACTCCCAAAGTCCCATCCCCAAAATATCCCAGGAATGCATCGGGACCTTCTCCGTTCTTTTCCTCTCCTCGTGGTATGGCCATTCCTCCTCCTCCTCCTCCTCCTCGGCTGATTTAATCCAGGCCTCCTCTCCTGCTCTGGGTTGCCGGCTAATCAAAACCACATGAGATCCCAATGGAATCTCCATGGGCTCAAATCAGTGTCTTCTAAACGAATCGAGAGTGGAAAGAAGAAGGGGGGAAAAAACAAATGCCAACCAGAAACACTGCATGCTTGCGGCAAAGAAGAGGCTCGCCTGCAATGGGACCCCAAAAGGTTAAGCGGCACAAGGAACAGATGATTTGACTTATTTTTTACAAAATATTTTTACCCTGCCTTTCTCTTTAAAGAGGACACAAGGCCATTTGCAACATTAAAAGACAACATTTGAAGCTAGAAACAAGAAGTATACAAATACTATAAAAGAGGAAACAAATGCCGGCTCTTAGAAACGGGAAACAAAAGCAATACTAAAACAAACACACACATTTAAAAGCAACAGAACAGACCATCAACCCTCCATTAAAAAACAACGACTCAGACTGCCAGTGATGAAGGGAAAAGCCTGCCTGAAGAGAAAGATCTTTTATCTGCTTGAAGAACGATGGGAAAGAATGGGGGACAGCCTGGCCTCCGGTGGGAGGGAGTTCCAGAGTCTCTGGGAGCAGCCACAGAGAAGGCCCTCTCCTGGGTCCTCACCAATAGGATAAACATATTTTTATCCAGTTATTCATTTACACTATTACAGGAATGTATGTTTGCTGAGATGACAGTAAGATTTCATATTTTAACTGGGGAAGCGAGCATCCATCCATGTTCCTTTCTGGAGCTCCTCCGTCAACCGCTCGGCCAAAAGAGGATATTTTGAGGGTCCAAAATCAGGAGCATTTGCCCTCCTTGGGGCCTCCTTTAAAGCAAGCCTTGCTTTAGTTAAAGTGTGTCCCGAATTATTTTTTAACAAGTCTGCATGATGTAGAAACATTTTTAGAGGGGGCGCAGCTTCCAATCAACCTCTGCCCCCCCCCGCCCGGTTCCAGGGCTGCTCTTTCCCAGAATTAAAAGAAGTTGGTTCCAGCCGTCCCGTCTGCAAGATAGGCCGAGATGATTGCTGGTCCAGGTGGCTGCGGAAGGGGAACAGGGGGAGAAAGGAGGCGGGCTTGAGGTCATGAAGGTCACCGGACAAGGGGACATTCATCCTCAGGAATCGCTGTGCTGCTGTTTTCATATGCTGATGGTTCCAGACATTTCAGAATCCTGAGTGAAGAGGCCGGCTCATCATCATCATCTCCTCCCCTAGAGGAAAGGCGTCTGATGGAAAACCTTGTAAGTAAGAGGCAGGCACTCCTTAGAGGCCCCTCCTGTCCTGTCCCTCCACCGCTCACCTGCCTCTTCCTCCCCAGATCAGCAAATATTCGCTAAACTGCTTCGGGCTGCGAAGACCTGGAGAGAGTCCTCCGTTATCTGATGCAAAGACCACATGTTATCCCTACATCAAAGCAAGCTCTCCCGGTTGTCTCACCTGCGTAATCTGTCTCTTAACACCCCCACCCCCACCCACCCCAAAAAAACACCTAGACTCTCAAGTTTATCTTTCGGCTGTCAGCCAAATGACCCTTCCCTGCGAATTCACCCGAGCTTGTCTCATGTTGATCCCGGGGAGGAGGGACACAACCTTGACCTCCACTCCTGGACGTCCAGGAATACAATCTGGAGTCCTTTCACACCTGACAGTCGATACGTGGCTACTCCTGATTAGCACCCGTGGCTCGAATCCTTTGGGGAAAAACGGATTACGGGAAGGTGATCCTGCACGTGTGGTTCTGGGCATTTTCCAGGGCGAGTCAAGGCACCCAACAGACCCCAGGCAAGGAGGAGGGAACGCTTCCTGCAGGATTCTGGCCCACACAGAGATCAAGGAAGGCGTCTCAAAGCTGCACGGAGTTTTACTGCTTCCAACTGTTTTACCAAGAATCGTGGCAAAAAGGCTGTGGGATTATTAAGTCAAGGGCAAGTTTCTACTTGTCCATGTGGGTCAGATACGAGTGCGCAGTTTATGCGCCTACCCACTGAGTCACCATTTTTACATCTGGTTCTGCCTGGCAGACGTCCCAGAAAAAGACCCATAAGCCTCCCTCACTCCAAACGCTTTCGGACTGCAATGGCCATCATCCCTCACTGGAGGGTGTGCCAGCCAAGGAGGAGGGCTCCCCTTGCTCCAGCCCCCTCTGGAAGCCACCACGGGCCCCCTTGGGTGTCCTGGATGACCTCAAGCGCCCCCTTCTCTGCTTGGGATGCAAGCTCCCTTCTCCATGACTTGCCACTTCAATCTCATGAGATTTTCGCAACCTCTTCCAGGCTGTTGACCCTTCTAGGCTAGACTCCTACAGGATGGCACACTGGCTGGGGACGATGAGAGTTGTAGTCTGACGTGTCTCTGAAGGGCACCAGGTTAAGAAAGGCTGGATCCAGTCAATAACTTTGGTTCCTAAGGCTGGGGTCAGCCAAATAACCAAGGAGCAACAGGAGTTGGAAGAAATTCCAAGGGGGCTGCCAGTTCAGAGGGGGTGGGACTCTCTCTACTCTGACCGTGGGGCAAGCGGAAATTGTTGGTCAGCACTCTCCATGGTTAGGGACAGTGAGGACAGGCAGTCAACAATGCCCGGGGAGCCATCGTTGGGTAAGCTAATAAGACCCACCAGGAAACCCGCTCTTCAACTCACTGGTAAGTACAGCTCAGACTTTTTTTAAAAAAGATCCTTATTTTGCTACGAGGCTCTAATCAATCTGTGTTCCTCGGACTCCTCACTAACGAAGGCACCAACTCCCTTCTGTTCTCCAACGCCCCCCGCCCCCCCGCAAGGCAGCCACCGTCATATCTTGCCTGCGACCAACCTGGCCAAATCCTCTGGATGAGGAACAAAAAAGAGAGTGTCACAAACAGGAAGGAAGTTTGCAGCCAAAATCGGAAGAAACAACTAAGAAACCACCCCAAACCATCGTGCCGCGCTTGTGCCCCTCGAACGTTTTGCCCTTCTCTATGGGCAGAAAGCAGACTATTCTGCCTTGTTGAATCAGGCACCCGTCTCAAACTGGGCACCGTCTATGGAAAGTGGAGTGGGTGAAGAAAGAGGATTTGCCTTCCATGTTTTGATGGGCAAAGGGGTTGAGAAGAACAGGTCGACCCCTCAGGGCCTGGGAGGTGAACTTCTTGTACAGTATACAGATTCCAACCCTTCGCCCATCCAGACCCCAAAAAGGCCCACTCTTGGGTGCTAACAAGAAGCAGAGTGGGGGTGGGGTGGGGATCATTTTCTGACGGGTTAAAGCTTTCCCGAGTGAATGGAAGGTCGTGTCCTTGTGTCTGGTCAGTAACCATCCCTGCTCAAGGGGGCCAAGGGGGAGAAGGGAAGATGTGAAGTGGGAGAGTTCCGAGTGAATGGAAGGTCATGTCCTTGTGTCTGGCCAGGACCCGTCCCTGCTCCAGTGGGCCAAAGGGAGAAGGGAAGATGTGAAGTGGGAGAGTTGACTGGTCAAGGGAAACAAAAGGGGGCTGGGCTCCTCAAGAGGACCCACTTTGTATGCAGGATGCCGTGAACCCACAGGATGTGAGTCTTCGCCCACTGGCACTCCCTCTCTAAGGGCATCTCGTCCAAGAACTCACGACAGAAGGGGAAGGAGCCAAGGGGTGTCACGCCTGCCAGGGCCCCACCGTGGGAACTCAGGAGCCTCAGGAAGGGTGGCGGGGGGGGGACTTGCTCCACAGCCTTTTTATTTGTCCCGTTCTGCCAACAGGAGCAGGAAGCAGTCGGGGCGGGACACACGAGTGGGGGATCAGCGTCCTTCTTTATACCACCCCCTCCCCGGGAGAGGATAAAGGAACTAGAACTGATAAGAGATTTTAAAACCGGAAGGAAGAGAAGTGCATACAATACAGTTTGCTACAGCCTTAGACGACCTGGCAAACGTTAAAATGACGACATACAGACTCTGTCGGATATAATCTGAGCACAACGAGAGCATTAAACAAGATGTTAAACACAGAGATCCTGCCATAACAATATTGTCCAGCAACAACAGCTCAAAAACTTACAGTGACAAACCAGAAGTTCTTTCAGCAGAAATTGAAGAGGCACGGAGAGATTTTCCCTTGAGTGTTTATGACCCAAAATATGGCACCGGGGGAAGCCTGGCAGATTTCAGTTTGGCTTTCAGGAAACAATGACAGAGAAATTGAAAGCAGAACTAATTCAAGATGCTCAAAATCAAGGTCAGGCCCCCCGTTGAACATACAGGGACTTCTTCAGAAACAAAGGTTCTTACTTACTGCCACATCCAGCCTTATTGCAAACTAAAGGGAGGATCCCATTTGGATCCTACATTTATATCCAGGTATTAGGATTACTGGATACGAACACAGCATGCAAGCTTTTGCGTTCGACAGGACTCTTCATCAGGCTGAATAGTTTTTTTAAAAAAATAGAGGGAAGCGGGTGGAGCGAGGAAACCCATAGGTTTATTTATTGGGAAAGAAAAAGAAATGCTCTCAGAATGGAAAAGCCAGAGATGCACGCCAAATTCACACATGAAGCAAGCTTCAGAGCCACGCAGAACCCTTCAAGGGGGCAGATGGTAAAAAAAGAAGAGACGGCTGGGATTGGCGTACACACACACACATACACACACACACACACACACACACACACACAATCAGTTGTTGCTTAAAGAAGTTTCGAAACAGAGGCTGTGGCACCAGAAGGAGGA